CTTATCTCTGGACCAGTTAATCAAATGATGATTTAAAGTTTATTTTGAGCTCTGTAACTTAAAATAGTCTGATTTTTTTGTCAAAACAAGCTTGTAAGGACAGATTTTTTTATCATGGACTCATCAGTTTTTATTTTGCGAGACAGGATTTTCATAAAGGGCATGAATTTCAAGTCTCTCTTCTGCATATGCGTTGTAACACTCTTACACATAGTTCAGTAAAGCTTTTTACAGCTGTCATCAAAATTACACACACAGTGTCACATCTATTTAGTCTAATTGCATAACTGGTTGTGATGGCACCAATTACCTAGAGAGGCAATACGTAACTAAAACTTAAAAATAAGAAAAAGGTGTAGAAAAAAAAAATTTACCCTCTGTCAGCAAATCAACAAGTCACTCTTCTAATGAGATTTGAAGATTCAGATCAAGGTTAAAGTAGCTCTGATTATTAAAATAGGTTATTGATTATTAAGGGCACGTGCATTGATTCCACAGAGATACTGTATTATTCAGACATACTCAAATTGGCACAAGTACTGAAGTCTCATTTTATACCCACACAGCTATATTGATCTTTGCCTGCAGACAACTTCTCAGTCATAAGTTCATGCTCAGACTGCTGATGATCTTTTTACATATTGGGTTTCCAGCCTTTCATGGCTATCAAAATATTTCAAAAAGTCATGTAGTCACATAAATAGGGCCCCAGCAAAGGATTTTGAACCAAATAGAGGCAGGGATATTGTCTAGTGTAGTCTGTGCAAAAGAAAAAAAAAAAAGAAATTGATTTTGCCAAGATCTTGCAAATACAACTCAGGTATTTCATACATTAGCCCAAAACCTAAATGGATAGTGACAGTAAAATAAGCCTTCTTTGATTTTAAATCCAGATGAGCAACAAAATTCGGACAAGTGCTTGAAGATTAAATTAATTTAGCTCACCTACAAGAATTCCTTATGTGTATTGATGGTAACCACCACCATTAATCCAAATATTTTAATGAACCCAAGAATTCTCTTTGATCTTTTAAAATCATAAATAACTTATAGCTGTCTTCTCTAGTACTACTATTTTTTTTATTCATCTACTTACATCTCTTTTCAGATTTTTTCATTCACAGACATTAGTAGGATGCCAAAATCTATGTATTTCCAGTGCAAGAGTTGCTGGGTGAGGGAGGGTGTTTGTTTACATGATGGCTGCCCCATTACCCACAGGAAGGATGCAGGTATACCAGACCTGTGGAAGCCCTGGGTGCTCTGGCAAGGCAGTAGGAAATGGGGCCTTTTTATGAGTTACATGATAAATGCCTGATATCTACCAGGTCTACAATGAAACTAGTTTTGAGTCTTTCACAGGCTCTCTGCTTGTGAATTTTCCTAATCAGAAAGGAAAAACAGTGGCATCACACTAAATCCATTTCAGAGCTACCCATCTGAAACCTTATAAAATGCCTTAAAAATATTAAATTAATACTCCTTATTAAATTTATCTGGCAGCATAGGACCCCACTGCCCAGTTTATAGAGGTTATGAGTTTTAACAAACTCCAGGTTATTCTTCTATTCCCAAGCATGAGAAAACACCAAAAGGCAAACAAAGAGCAGAGGGAAGCAGGGAGTGGTCCTGATAAAGTGAAAGCTCTCCAATAATTTTACCCATAAGTATATTACATTTAGGAAACTTTTCCCTTTTTTGTCTTCTGTTTCCTTATTTTCTTTATTTCTTCTCTTTTTGACTTGATGGGATTTTACTGAAGAATAGGGGAACATACCAAAAATCCAACAGAAAGGTCTTTTCTTATCTTCTTGTTTTATCTGTTAAATGTCACAAAGATTTTCCAGATCAGTACAGCTAACCTGTGCTAATTAAGCTGTTAATGTGGGTGTTAAATGAGGCTTAGGCAAATGATAAGAGCCTGTGTCCTGATGGATTTCACACTGTGTCTTACACCTCAAAGCCATCACAAGGTTATAGCAATCTGATTATTGATTGACTCTAGAGCTCTTCATTATACTTAATACTTTATGGACTACTTCAAAACCATGCAATACTGACTGAGTGGAGATCATTAAAGAGCACGTTCTGGTATAGTTAACATGCCAAGCAGCCTCTGAGGACCTACCAGATTTTGTCTGGACAGTACATGGCAGGATTTTATTCACTTGGAAATTTCAGCTTCTTTAGTCCTTTTTCCAGAAAAGAAAAGTAGTGGAAATGGTGCTGCTTTTCCCCACAGTCACACTGCCATGCTGAATCTGGAAGTGAGGGCTGAAGGTCCTTACCTCAGGAAGTTGTCTGTCTTAAAGTTCTTGTATATCACAGTCAGCCTCAAAGTTTCCCCTTACTTACTGCAACCTTTTCCAATGCCTTAAACTTTAGCACAATTTGAGTGGGCTGGAGAATTTTTCTTTGCCTTCAACCTGGCCACAGATTCACAAGACATCTGTAAAACAGGCTCATTTTTCTCCCTAGCCCATACCCTACTGAGAGTGTGGATGTACCAACAGCTTTAGCATGGCAACCTGTCTGCCAGAGACTGGGCAAGAAAGAAAGTAAAATCCGTGCTGGCTTATCAGTGCTGGTTATAAATCTGTGCCAAAGCCAAGTATTAGTTCACAGGGGGAAAAAAAAATAGTTTCAGAGTTCTTGTCTATTTGCCTCCAATAGCTATTGACACTGTCACTCCCATGAGATTCTGCTGTTTAACTGCAGATACCTGCACCTGGCTTTGCTGTTTAAATGCTGTTAGGATACAATGGAGACAAATTCACCCTTCTGACTTTTTCTCTCTTCACAAAGTAGACATGTAAAATAAGTCAGATGACTCATGTCTTAGAATAAGCACTTGCCTATTTGTAAGCAGACATTGGCTCCAAAAGGTATCTAGGGACTAGCTTACACATAAGCACTCTAGCCTCAGGTTTCTGAAATTAGTGAAATGAAACTCCTGCTGTGGACCTATTTACTATTGAAACAAATATCAAGTTTAAGATGATGTTTGAACAAGCAGGCTCCCCTCCATTTGGTTGGTGTTTGATGGCTTCATCACCCACTCTCAGACTGACTTTCTCAGGCTGTTGAAAAATACAGCCTTGGCTCCTGTGGGGTAGAGGACAGACAGTGCAGGAGCATCCTTGTCCACCCTACAGAGTGGATTTTTTCATCTCCAGAGAAATGAGACATCGTGAGTTTTACATCACCCCTAAAACTTTCTGAGAACTTTAAGGGAAACCAATACATGTGATGCATAAAAATTAGTGAAACAATAATTCTAGGTTTCCAACTTTGCAGAAAGTCAAAGAAAAGTGATTACAATATCAAATATTTGCAAACAGAAAAGAAAATCCCTTGTCCACACTCTTCATATGTTACGTGGCCTTGTCCTCAAATGCTGTCTAATCTCTTCCTTTTATTAAAAATTGTGTTCTCTCCTTTGCTGCTTCAGCACCATTACTAGGCAGGAATTGGTTCTGTCAGTTCTCCCTCTCTCCTAACACATCAGTACAGTTTTTTATTTGCTGTTTCTGTCATTGTCAATAATTACATTATCTCTACTTGAAGAGCTCTCAGTGACATTTGTCACTGCTGCCTAGATATTATATCACACACCAAAAAAATTTACAAATGAAGATTCATGGGGGGGGAATCAGCTTAAGATTCAACCACAAAATATTTGTACCTTCTTGGGAGCTAAGCATTGCAATGTTAATACAGTTAGTGGAGCCTCAAGGGCACCTCAGACAGCAGGCAGACTGCTTGTGGGTGAGGTGTACCCCCCTCTAAATCCTACAGGTATTTCCACCAAGCAAGGCAGCACTTTTCCCTTGTATGTGCACACTTGGGTTTGGCAGGAGCCCACCAGAATAATACAACACAGGCTCATGTGCATGCAAGCAGGTGAAACAAAGGCAACCCTGTCTACTTTACAAAGCACTGCTATGCCCTATGATAGTCTTTCTTCTCTAGTATCTAAATTAGTTGCAAAATCCCATCTGTGGATCTTCTCAGAGACAAACCCTGAACTGAGCAAAAATAAAATCCTTTTAAACTTTGCAAAGTTGTATTTAGAACCTGCCAGAGCCCTCGTGTGGTACCAAGTATGTGACAGTGACCCAGAAAGAGAAATGAGCAGGAATTATTCATGCTTTAGGTGAAGAATTCTCCTCTTGCACTCCCTTGGATGGGAAGACTGTGATGCTTTGGGGCTGCACAAGTGCACCTAAGTCATGGTCCATATAGTGCCACTTGTTTCTCATGGCAAATTTCTCTGCTTTAGTCCCCTAAACATCACCATGAGGAAACAGCACTGTCCTAAAAGGGCAGAGGGAGCACAAATGTATACAATACAATGCTGTGACACTTTTGCTGAAGAGATTCAAAACCTGCCTAGACATGATCCTGTACAACCTGTTCTAAGTGCTTTAGCAGGGGGGGATTGGACTAAATGATCTCCAGAAGTTGAAAGTCCATTTTAGCCCCAGCCATTCTGTGAGTCTGTGATTTGTGTTCAGGGAAAGGATAAGGATGAGAAAATAGTTCATAGTTAGGCTGTGAGTGCACTAGACTGTGGAAGCTATGCACTGAAGGACAATCAACCAAAATATGTATCTATTCTGTATATAAAAATGGTTCTGTCTAGGTAGCCTTTGCAGCAACATGTTAGGGCCTTGACGGTAGGAAAAACATTGCATCTTAAATTGCTCTACTATCCTTGTAAACAGCCTTGTATCAAATCATAAATAAAGGTATGTTGCCCATCAATAAAAAAGCCCAATTTCAGTAAACAGAATTGAAACACGTGGAAGGGGAGGGCAGGGAAGGAAAAAACTCTGTCCATACCTGGAAGTTATGATGGACTTGGAATGGTTCAGGTGAGAGGCTTATCAAGACAGGAGTGTTGAATCTGTTCTGTCTCTATGTGAAGCATTTTATCAAACTAAAGTACCTGATGTTGCTCATCAGCTTCAATCTCTTCCTCTTTCTTCTCTCATCAGGAGGCCAAGAGGACTGCATCCTTTCTTATGAACCTGTCACAAGACAGGAAAGTAAGTTTCATCTTCTTTTCTATCACTCTTCCTTATGTTTTTCGTTTCAGAGTTTGGGGTACAGCAGAGCATTAAGCCCTGCTCTGCTAGTCTCAGACTCACTGTGGCTTCCTTTTCTTGGACACTCACTCCATTTTCATATTAAAAAAACCTGATGTTATGGTATTCCTTGGAAGCCACCACTTCTTAACATTCCCAGGACTCTCCTCCCCCCATACGTTTGCATGGACTTTACTAGTACAGAAAAATCATAAGTCTGCAAAACATTGATGTAGATTTTCTAGATTTAGTGCAATATTGTTACATAGAAAGCCTTTATTATTTTGCTTCTCATGTGATACGTGCCACTGTCCAGGGCAGACAGACATATGGAAAGGCAGCTTAAAATGGGAGCACATCCATCTGGTTTAATGGGAGATGCACTCATACAACTTGAGGTGAAAAAAAGGCTACAATAGCCATTCCATACCTCATGGAAGAGTCCATCAGCAAGCATTTGGGAGCAGCCTGGCTGAGTGGTAGCAAATTTATCTTATGCTTCTACATAGTCATTTGACTTGTCCATGGATCATCACAGAGCTCTGCAGGGGTACTCATTCCATTCCTTTTTTTCATGTCATAAGTAAAATATTCATCAACAAAATGTGCACCTAAGTTTTCACTTCAAACATAAAGATAACAACTCTGGTTTGTGATATTTGGGTGCATTTATTTACTGTTGTGGGTAAGGTCATCAAAATGTGATCTTTTTGTTTTTCAGTTAATTACACCAGGCCAGTTATTATTCTGGGTCCTATGAAAGATCGGATCAATGATGATTTGATATCTGAGTTCCCTGATAAGTTTGGGTCATGTGTACCACGTAAGTATGGTTTTATTCCTAGTTCCTCAGCTGAGTGAACAGTATCCCTTGGTGTCACACATCAAGTAAATTTCTATGAAAGCAGCATCCATGAACTGTGCATAGTTGGGTTTCTCAAAAGTCAATTCTTCATCAGGCAGAAAAGGTGAAAAGAACAAATAAATTTTTAATTTTTTTTTAAAAGGTTGTGAATGTCTGGAAAAAAATCTGAGAAGTTTGAAATTCTGGTGAAATTTAAAATGTTTCAACTCAAGTGCACAGCATCCACCTGTAAATATACAGAATGATCTGTGATTTGAGTGAGATATAGACTGTTGAATCAGAAAGCAATGTTAGACCCTGAATTAAACAGAGTATTTATATCTTGGACCACTGTAGCTTGCTGTTTATTTGAGGGCCTAATTGCAGTTGTACTTCATTTTAAATGGTTGTCTCTGGCAATACACTAACTTAAAACTGCTGGAGATGAGAACAGAATCAGGCTTATAAATAAGGCTAAATTGAATTGATGAGATCACAATTCATTTTATCACCATAATAACATTAAAATATGAAATGCATTTTATATTTGAGGTTTGTGTGTGATTCTGCTGAAAAAAAGTGGAATTCTGGTAAACCCTAATTTTATTTTAGCCTATATTGATTAGAAGTAAACATCAGAAGGTATTACTATAAAAAGATAGCTTTACTGTCATAGCTCCATTGAAAACAATATATAGCAGGCAAAGATCTCAGATGTGAAGTGCCCTCAGTTAGAGCAGACCCTGCATTGCCCACTTAGCAAACCATGGCTGCATTTTTCACACTAAATGTTTTTGCAGACTTCTTCATCTTCTGTCTTTTGTTTCATGCAGATACCACACGGCCAAAGCGTGACTATGAAGTGGATGGGAGAGATTATCATTTTGTCATTTCAAGAGAACAAATGGAAAAAGATATCCAAGAGCACAAATTTATAGAAGCTGGGCAGTACAATGATAATTTGTATGGAACTAGTGTCCAGTCTGTGAGATTTGTGGCAGAAAGGGTAGGTTGACAGTAGTTTTTAGTGCCAGTGCAACATGATTTGCTTTGTTTCCACATTGTGTCTCAGACATGATTCTCTGCCAAAAATATAAAATAGCTGCAAAACAGCATCCTAATATTTATGGGCTTTATAATGACTCCACAAGTGGAGTCTCTGACTTTGGATGACATCATCCTTGGCACTGTCTGTACTTGGATGTAGTGCCATGGTTTCAGGCTTCTAACACAGTGCCTCAAGTACTTCTCAAAACAGCCTCTACTCTTCCCTCTGTAAGACAGGTAGATAAACTAAATCACTTTCACAGAGGCAAAAGAACAAACCACTGAAAGATTAAATTATTTGCCTCAGGTGACATAAACAAGAACTGAATTAATCACTAAGAATGTGGACATCCTATTGCTTTTATGAACTAATTTTCCTCATTTCAAGAAAATAATCCTGCCCCTGCAAATTTCATTCCAGTAAAAAATAAACCCCAAGTTTGTTCCCGTATCACCAGTGTATATTTATACTGTCACCAAAGCAAAGGAAAGAACACAGCACAGTGGAGCACATGCCCTGGGCTCCCCCTTCCCTGGTGTGCCAGTAATGGCCCCATTCCAGGGCAATGCATCACAGATTTGCTTCCTATCTTTTGGCTGATCTGCAGCAAAGTCTGCAAAAATAAACACATGCACATCTGTTTCCAACAGGGCAAGCACTGTATACTTGATGTGTCAGGAAATGCTATCAAACGGCTACAAGTTGCACAACTCTATCCCATTGCTATCTTCATTAAGCCCAAATCATGGGAGCCTCTGATGTGAGTATAAACTTCTTCAAGCATTTTATTTTTTTTTTTTTTGGTACAGCCTCAAGTGGCACCACACAGGTCTTGAGTCTACATTTGGCTTGTTCTCTAAAATTAGTAATAATGAGATTAAGTAGGAAGAGTGCCCTCAGAGCCTGTCACCCCCTGTATCCTGGTATCTCAAGGAACAAGCCATAGCTTTGAACATTTCAGACTGGCACATGTGGGATTATGTGCTGGACTCTGAAGGACTCTGCCAGTACTTGATGTATTTGCTCTAACCTGTGCAACAAGTTCACCAGGGACTCGATTCACACAGCTTGGCTTGTCCCATGCATCCTCGGGTGCTCTTGGGGTTTAGAGTCTGGGCAAGGGCACAAACCAGAGTTTAAACCTGTGTCAGACTTGAGGTGTGTTCCTCTTCACCAGCCCTTCATTTGCCTGCAGGTCTGTAAGAGGATAGGCAAGGAGCCATGGGACTGGAGAGGGCCAAGAATGAAAGAGAAGGCACCAGCTCCATGCTGCCAAGGCTGTCCAAGGTGGCACAAACTTTGGGGGATAAAATCAAAACTCAGTGTGAGATCAGTAAGATGAAATTCGGCACAAAGGAGAGAAAATTAAATACATAAGTACAAGCAGGGAATAATTTAGCTATAGCACTGCAGAAAAGCATCTGGCAGTTGGGGTGGATCACACAGGAATACGAATGGATGGGTAATGTGGTTGCCAAAAAAGGAAATTGCCAGTGTGGGCTGTATTCATATCAGTGTTGTGTAAGGACACAATAGACTGCTATTTTTTTTACTGGGTATGGATGAGGCCTCAGCTGGAGTGCTGGCCTAATTCTGGGTTCCACCCTGCTGGTAGAGGAGGAGCAGGAATTATCTAGTGTCACGGAGAGAAGGCTGAGGAGGAAATATGGAATTGATACTCATCCTGAGTTAAAATTCAGGATAAAATACATGGTTATCAAGTTGTTTTCCAGGACCACTCACAGTTATGCAAGAGCTGTCAGCTTAATTTGCTGTGATAGGGGTGAAACTTCGAACTCTGTGCCAGTTCTGTTCAATATTTTTATTGATGACATGGATGAGGGTATTGAGTCTTTCATTAGTAAATTTGCAGATGACACTAAGCTGGGATCATGTGTCGACCTGTTGGAAGGTAGGAGGGCTCTGCAGAGAGACCTGGAATGGTTGGATGGATGGGCAGAGTCCAGTAGGATGAGGTTTAATAAGTCCAAGTGCTGAGTCCTGAATTTTGGCCACAATAACCCCCTGCAAGGTTACAGGCTGGGTCTGGTGTGGCTGGACAGTGCCCAGGCAAGAAGGGACCTGGGGGTACTGATCAACAGCTGACTGAACATGAGCCAGCAGTGTGCCCTGGTGGCCAAGAAGGCCAATGGCTCCTGGCCTGTATCAGGAATAGTGTAGCCAGCAGGAGCAGGGAGGTCATTCTTCCCCTGTACTCAGCACTGGTGAGGCCACACCCTGAGTGCTGTGTCCAGTTCTGGTCCCCTTGAGATGCTTGAGCGTGTCCAGAGGAGGCAACAAGGCTGGTGAGGAGCTTGGAACACAAACCCTGTGAGGAATGGCTGAGGGAGCTGGGATTGTTTAACCTGGAGAAAAGGAGACTCAGGGGTGACCTTATCACTCTCAACAACTTCCTGAAAGGTGGCTGTAGTCGGGTGGGGGTTGGTCTCTTTCTGCAGGCAACAACTGACAGAGGACACACGAGAGTCCTAAGCTGTGGCAAGGGAGATATAGGTTGGATATTATGAAAAAGCTTTTTATAGAAAGAGTGATAAAATACTGGAATTGTCTGCCCGGGGAGGTGGTGGAGTCACCATCCCTGGATGTGCCTAAAATAAGATTGGATGTGGCACTTGGTGCCGTGGTTTAGTTGAGGTGTTGCACTGGGTTGGACTCTATGATCTTGAAGGTCTGTTCCAACCTAGTGATTCTGTGATTCCCCTCCCCCAGGGCTCTGCAAATGCCAGGTAGTGCCATAGGTATGTGTTTGACAGCTAAAATGTTGGCACTCCCCCTCCTGTGACAGATACGTGTGTGGTGATGGCACACAGTGTGCCTGCAGCCACTGGTCACAGAGCCAGAGAATGCCAACACAACTCATCCCTGGAACACACATTCTTCTTGGCCCTGCCTTTGGCAATGAGCTTGTTCTATGTCCAGCCACTTTACAAGGAATGATGCACAATATCTGATACTTGCACAGCACCATCCTGACTTTCTGACTTTTCTTCCAGACGTACAATTCAGTAATATTCTGATTTTGTTGCTGTATAGAAGGGGACGAGTAGTCTGATAGCCTGCCTTCTGCATTGATTATTTTAACAGAGATTTTAACATACAGTTTTCCCATTCATAAAACATTTCCATTATTTGTTAATGCTGGCATTGCCTTTGGAGTGATTAAAAAAACAAAGTAAATAAAAGTGGCCCTTACTTGGAAAAATACATCAGGCAGAAGCAGGAAAGTGGTAATAACATAAAGGCTTTGTTGATGTTAGAACACCAAATCCTTGAGTAGACTGAATGTTGTTATGAAGATGCAAAATATTATGACAACAATTCTGTTATTGAGCCAAAGCAATGTTAATACTTCATTTAGGGCCATAAAACAAATGGGCTGTTCAAGAAATGCCTGGACTTAACACTCAGTGCTATGATCTAGTTAACAAGGTGGTGATCAGTCAAAGGTTAGACTTGATTATTTTGGAGCTCTTTTCCAACTTAATGATTCTGTGATTCAATTTTCTTTACACAAAAAAAAAAAAAATTATAGGTTTATCTGTCATAACTATTACTCCTGTTCATACAAATGAGTTGAAAGCTACTTCAATAGCAAAGTCAAAACACAAAAGACAAAAAATTTCTAATCACAAGTTGCAGAGAAACAAAGACAAAAGATTTATCTTTCATCAAAATTAACACACAAAATTGTAGTCTCTCATTTATGCATATGCTCATTTACACCTATCTGAGGTGGAGGTAAGAAGAGTGAAGGGAGCATAAATCAATGTTGCACCTGCACTTGAAAGAACACATGGCCATTGCTGTAAACAAACTGCTCATCACTCCCTTCCTTCCTTCCTTCCTTCCTTCCTTCCTTCCTTCCTTCCTTCCTTCCTTCCTTCCTT